CAAATAACTTAAATATTTTATTTGCAACTAAGCTTGTTAACACTATATAGTGAAAATGTACAAAGAATAATGTTGCAGTTTTTGGTTAGATTTAAGTCAGACATTCATTAGTAAGGAATCTTCGAATGTGAATATTCCAGAAATTTCTCTAAGACATTTGATCACAACAACTGTCTCTGAATATTACCTTACTTTGGAAGGTATTGGCATACATTTGAATTAAACTCAAAAATTTTCAACGTAAGGCATAATTTAAAAAACTATTCTATGTTCAAACTAAAACAATTTTAATAGAACTTTCCTTTCCAGAAACAATAAAGGAAACTAGGTATTTTGTAAAATGTGGTCCTGAACAAGTCACAGTAAAAAATAAATGTATACTTAACTCCACCTCCTCAAAACAGAGGCTACTTTCTGCTCTGCAGCCTTGGAAACAAGGTGAAGAACAGCCTATAAGCAACTTCGGGTGGGTGGGGGGGGGTTGCCAAAACAAAGCTTAAGCAGTTGAACATGGATACCTCAGAAGAATTTGAGGGAACTTGACCAAAAATCTGAATTGTACTTTTAATAACTAATACAAAGGAGAAGTGTTTCCTCCCAAATAGCAGTGCTGCTGGGGCCTGGCCCAGTCCCTTGCTCACCAATACTATATTCCCAAGCAAATCCCAATGCTTCTGCTCCAGGAGAGACTGTTTCCCTTTAGAGGTTCAGTGTCCAGGGAGCTCTTTGATTGTATGAATGAGGTGAGCAGCAACTCCACGGAGTATTTTAAGGCTTGAAGTCAAAAGATTTTTTTTTTCTAGTACGACTTGATAGAGTCTATGTGTCAATGACCTGTCTCCAGTTTGTTCTAACTTTTTACCACACATTTGTAGATCTAGGACTACAGACCTTTGTGATATCATCATAATCACATCTAATGTCCATCCTAACTTATGATTCTTATCCTGTGCCTGGAATCAGTCCATGTATTTAACAATAATACCTACACATAAAACAATCCACTGTTACAATTTATATGGTCACAAAATATTAATGATCTTCTATAGACCAAGAAAATGTTTTTAACCATAATTGTCGTGCATCAAATTCACAGCAGAATCCCCAAGATCAAAAAAAAATTGCACAATACAAATAATAACTTAAAATATACATACACACATATGCACACACTCCCACACACACTTCTTACAGAACTGTGCTTGGGGAAACTCCATTTGTTGAGTGCTATTGAAGGCATATTTTACTAAACTGCTGCTCCAGGTATTTTTGTTTGGAAAATCTATCACAGTAGGGCACAGCTGTTTACTGGATGAGCAGAAAAGAAAGATATGCTTGTGGCAACCAGAAGTTTTAAGGTATTTCAAGTTGTATAAAATGGACCTGCAGAAACGTTTAAGTGTTCTCAGGATGCAAAGTTTTGGAGCTGAAATGTGATATCAAACCAGTTGCAAAAAGTGTACAGCAGCCATCTCTTGAGGTCAAACTTGGTACCCAGATAATTCAACAAAGCTTCAGGATACAGAGCTTGTTGGTATTGCCCCTTATTACCTCATAATCTTGTTACTGCTGTTTACCAGTGTTTACTTGCTTCCCCAACTGCTGAAGTATAACACCAAAGAAGCATGCCAACACAAGTGCTTTATTAAAGGACAGCAGAAAAGACTTCTCCCCAGAGGAAGAAAGGGACCTGAAAGGCAGAATCCATGGAAGGGGGAGGAATTCCCTTGTATAGCTAAGCTTTTCCACACTCTTTTGTTTCCCTTTATCCTGCAGTGATAGAATGCAGGTGGGAAGCCCCAAAAGGTGGGAAATACGTGGACTGAAGGAGTAATCTGGGCAGGAAGGGCCTGGGGTGGTTTGATTAGCACCTCTCTGTTTGCTGGGAGCTGCTTCATTAACAGTTCCTTAGGGTGGATTCCTGGCCTTGGGAACATTAACATTTCAATTTCCCCAAGTGCAGCTCTGGTTTCCTGGATTCCATTCTCAACAATGGCTACCGTTTTCTTTGTCTCACTCGATATTAAACCCGATTTACCTAACTTCACTAACTACCTATCTGTAAATCTGGCTTCAATCTGATCATATGAGAATTTCACAAAAGATTCATACTGTTCTGCTACTTTGGTGTTGAGGATTTGCTCATACTCCTTCAGAATTTTATCTTCATAGTCTTAAAAGCCTCTCACATAGTATTCTAACTTGTGGAAGGGTAAAGGTGGGTTGGTCCTTCATCCAGGAGGAATTTGGAGAACCAGGTGCTGATAATGCTGAGGAGTTGTTACCACTGTTTACCAGTAACACGTCCTTGTTTCCCCAATGCTGAAGTATAACACCAGAGAAGCACGCTGGGGCAAGTGGAAAGTAGAAGCTTTATTAAAGGACAGCAGAAAAGACTTCTCCCCAGAGGAAGAAGGGGACCTGAAAGACAGAATTCAGGGAAGGGGGAAGTATTCCCTTTTGTATAGCTAAGGTCTTCTTTCAGCTTTTCCACACTCCTGTCTTTTGTTCCCCTTTATCCTGCAGTGATAGAATGCAGGTGGGAAGCCCCAAAGGTGGTAGTTAGGTGGACTGTAGGAGTAATCTGGGCGGGATTAGCACTTCCCTGTTTGCTGGGAGCTGCTTCATTAACATTTCCTTAGGATGGGCTCTGGGCCTTGGAGACATTAACATTTCAATTTCCCCAAGTGCTGCTCTGGTTTCCTGGACTCCATTCTCAACAATGGCCTCCATTTTCTTTATCATACTCGATATTAGACCCGATTTACCTAACTACACTAACTACATATCTGTAAATCTGGCTTCAGAGTGAGGCTGGCTTTCTGAAGTACAAGATTCATTCTGATTGAGAACAACTTCTAAATGTCTCCACCTCTGATAACGACTATATTCTTGCTTTATGCTCTGAAAATTTTGCTCCAGTGCCGCTCGCAGCCAGGTGGGGAGGGCTGCTGGAGAGTCCGCAGTGGAGTCTGCATCTGAAGTGGAGGCAGCTGCTCCGCATCAGGGGTCCTGAGGCCCAGAGTGGAGCCGGGCAGAAGGGTGCAGCACCACCGCTTCAGGGAACTGTGGCTCAGCAGCGCTGCCTGGAACTCCACGGACAGCTTCAGCTCTGCCCCACAAGCCAGGCCACAGAGGGGCCAGGGGCCAGGGCCCAGGGGTGGCTGCTGCAGCCCAAGCTCCGGCTCCTCAACGGGACTCACAACCACCATCCCCCCATGACATTTACAGGGAGGAGAAAACAAGGGCAAAAAAAGAGCAAGATTCAACATTCAACAGTTCATTAGGGATCTTCATTTTTGTGGTTAACAAATTTTTCAGAAGTCATTAAGGAAAGGTATTATGGGCTATAATACCCAGATATTCTCTCAACGATTATTCTGGATATTTAGGATGATATTAACATTTAAGACAGTAGACTGTGAGTAAAATAGATTGATCTAATCAATTAATGTCTCAATGATACCAAAAGATTGACCTTACCCAAGAAAAAGGAAATTTTACCATCCAAAGCTCTTAACTAGAAATATAGCATGAATTATTCCATGAATCTTGTTATGGTTTAGATATGAGGTATCCCCCAAAAGCTTACCTGTGAGACAATGCAAGAACGTTCAGGAGATATTATTGGTTTTTAAGAGGCACCCCTGTTGGAAAAAGGTATAATGGCAGCCACACCCCAAAAACCCCAACATGGCATCTGAGGAGCTTCTCTTCCTGCCTTTCCCTTTCCCACTGGTGCCAATTATCCCACCAGTGCCAATATTCAAATCCCACTGCCAGGAAACCTTAGCCCCAATAAGAACTAACTTCTTGGGCTCCAGAACTGACATCTGGAAGAACTTACCAATAAACAGGCGACCCGTCATTTACCTAAGCCCTGCCACCTCTCCTTAGATCTATATAAGCCCACAGCCTTTTGTAATAAAGCGGAACCTCTCCAGTGATTTGTGTCATGTGGTGTCTTCCATTCTTAGTGCGCTGCAGCGTCTTTCAACCCCAATCAGTGAATTAATCCCCTCATAGGGATTAACTGAATGGTAACTGAAGTGGCACTTTGTGAACCCACTTTTCAGATTTTGTACATTTCATCCTCTATAACTCTATGAGCCAATTCTCTCTCTCTCTCTCTCACACACACATACACACACACACACACACACACACACACACACTTGCTTCTGCTTCTCTGAAAAACCCTAGTGAGGAGTTAGTCCAAATTCTATGATTCTAATGTTGTTTAAGGTTAAGGATGTGTCAAAGTTAAAGAGTCCTGTGGGAAAAGAGAAGCTTAAATTTTGTTAAATAAAGAGGAATTTTGTACCCATTTATTAGTGGAGACTAATCATTTTTGTGACAACAAAAAATGGGAATTTACATGATCCACATCTGATCTTTTTTTGAGGTAATTGTGTTTTTAAATTGTTTATTTGTTCTTTTTAGTATGTACAACTTCAAATCTTGTGTTCTAGGTGTGTTAATCAATTTAGCATTACTATAATGAAATGACCAAAATAAACAACTTATGAGGAAAAAATATTTATTTCAAATCACCATGGAATTTCCATTCCATGTTCAAATGGCCCCTTTGCTTTGGATTTCTGATGAGGTAACCCATTAGTGGGAGTTTGGGGTGGAACAAACCATCTCATAAGCCAAGAAACAGAGCAAGACAGAAAAAGGAAGAGACCAAGTTCGAACAATCAATCTCCTTTTATGTTGCGACCTCAGTGGACCCCAGTGACCTAAAGACTTCCCTCTGGGCCCCACAGTACCTCCCATTAGTTTTGTCTACAGGACCAAAATTTTTAATTTTTAATTTTTTTTCCAATAAGCACTAATTTCAACACAAGAGTACAAAAATCTAACATCATCCAAATCCTACGAAGATTAAAAAGCTCATCATTTGCTTTTACAAATTCTTTTTTTAAAGGAAAGTATTTTTCTTTAAAAATGGATACAATATCTTTATCTTATTTATTTTTATGTAATGCTGAGGATTGAACCCAGTGCCTCACATGTGAGGCAAGTGGTGTTATGCTGAGATATAATCCCAGCTCAGTTTTACAAATTCTGAAGGAAAAATTAAGTTTGAAATAGTAAACTACAGAAATAATGTTTAAATGTTTAAACTACTCTTTAGTTTTCAAGACCCTATTACTGACTTTGGCAAGTTTTATGCTAAATACAATGATAGTAGCATTCACATTGCATGACTTATCATAAGTTTTTGTGTTTGGGATTCGACCCAGGGCTGCATGTATTCTAGGTAGTAATAAACTAACAATGAGCTATACCTCAGCTCCTAATATTAACTTTTTTCTTCCCACTGAGCTAACATAGTTTATTACTGAACTGCATTTTCACTTTCACAGAGACATTTAAAGAGCTGCGACAAGTGGGGGAGGGAGGAAGAACAGGTGCCCCTCAATAGCCAAGACCCCTGGGACAGGTTTCCTGGACCTTAGTCCCAATAAGAACTAACTTCTTGGGGAAGGAGCATTAGGACGCCAATATCCAGGCACCAACTCTCCACCTGCACAGAAAGTCAGCAGCTCCTCATACATGAATACACACATGCTTAACAAAAATAGTATTTCATCTTCACAAGAAATAAAGGCTCAGAGTAGGGCCAGGCAGAAGGGCACAGTGCATCCGCTTTAGGGAATCGGGGCTCAGTAGAGCCTCCTTGAACACCACAGGCCACTTCAGCACCCCTGCCAACTCCATGGGCCACTTCAGTGCTGTCCACACGACATGCCGCTGAGGGGCCAGGGACCAGGGGCAGGAATATGTATAGCAGAGAGCCTGGAGTTGCCAGTGCTGTGCTGAGACCTGCAGGGATGAGACAGGACAAGGCTGTAGCCGAGGGAGGCCTGAAGGGGTCTTGGCCAGGTCACTTTGACCTTGGCAGCCCTGATGCTCAGGCTGGACAGAGGGGAAATATCTACCTGATCAGGCAAGAGAGGCCCTTCCAATCGGCCCTCCACCCACTGTCCTGCACACCAAGGTCTCTTTCCTGCCACTCCTTCCTGAGGTAGGGAAGACCCCAGAGTTCCTACTGCTGCTCCCTAATCTCCCCTTTAACTCCGGGGTGAGGTCCCTGAATCCCTGTACCTGATGGGCAGCCACCCAACACAATGATGCCACAGGATGATCTTGCAGGAAGTGAATCCAGCTATTCACTGCCACATTATTCCCATGGCATTTCACAAAAGTGTCCCAGCCGCTGTGGTCCTGGATCCAAGTCTCTAGGTTATCATTCAGGTTAAGTGGCCATCCAACTTGCGATCTGACTCACCAATACCTGCAGCTCCTTGTCTATGCTTTCCACGCACAGTGCTCCTCCAAAGAAGAAAAAGGCCACAATGCAAACCCAGCTTACTTGAGAAATATATCTGGGGCAACAGTCTTGGGCCCAGGTGGTCACTCGTTCATGGTCCTGGGAGCCAGGAGAAAGGAGGTGAAGGGACTAGGGTGGTGCTAAACTGCAAGGACCATGCTAGCTTTTGCATGGAGTACTTCCTGGAGCTATATTGTCCTCTCTCCAAGATGGGACTAGACTCTATGCAGAGGCCTCTGGAAAACATTCACACTAGGAGTGGGGACTTTGTCCAGGCCAGTGGTGGGGGAGGAAGTCCTGATTCTGGCTGCTTTATCCCAAGCAGCCTGAATTCCTAATTAGCCAAAAGTAGCCTCATTTTTAAATGGTTCTAGGGGGTAGAGATAGAAGAAATAGGGGCCCAGGTCCAGAGAGGGATGGGTAATGATAATCAACTCTAAGGCTAAAAACATCAAAACAAAGGCAATCTAGTCTTTTTCTGGGGAAGAGGGTCAAAAACCACACTTTCAGTCTTCATGGGACAGATTTGGGGAAAATATTGTAGACTTTGATGCCAAGATAACTGAGGTATGTGGGAAGGTAACTGTCAAAGAAGTGTAGTAGTTCTAGAAAACCAACTGCAGGAAACCAGGTATTAGGTCCAAAGCAGTGAAGGATGGTGGGCGTAGATGTATGTAATGAATGGTTCTCCTGGGGTAATGGTGGCTGGACAGAGCGATGTGGTGGGGCAAGGTGGGAGGGTGAGTGGGTGGTCAGGGTCTGGTCACTTCCAACTGAACAGCCAGGTCAGCAGAACCACGCCAGCCACAGTCATGCCCATCAGGAAATAATAGTTGAAGCTCTCTTGGTGCATCCGGCTATTCACTGCCACATTCTTCCCATGGCGTTTCACAAAAGTGTCCCAGCCGCCATGGCCCTGGATCCAAGTATCTAGGTGATCATTCAGGTAAGTGGCCATCCAACTTGCGATCTGACACACCAACACCTTCATCTCCTTGTCTATGCTTTCCAAGCACAGTGCTCCTCCGAAGGAGAAAAAGGCTACAATGCGACCCCAGCTTACCTTATCCCGGAAGAGTTCGTCCACTACGTGTTCAAAAGTGTGATGTGCTGTCTCTGGGGTGAGGCAGAGCTCTGCTGTCATGTTAAGGACGGCCTGCCGGTACCGCCGGTCAAAGTTGTCGCTTGCCTCCCTCAGCGCTTGCTTCACTGCTATCATGGGGATCACGTCTGGGGCATCCAAACTCCTGTTATGGCCAGCGGCTCCACTCACCATGGGCCTGTCCCCCTGATGCCGGGATGGGTTGCTGTTGGTGGCATTGCTGGATCCCTCTTCTGATTCAGCCCTTTCTGGGCCTTGAACGCGGTTCTCTTCCTCATGGCTAAACTGGCTCCAGCTATATCCTTTCTGGGAAAGCTTGTAGGACAGAAAGTCGATCACTAGTTCCAGGTTCCTCTGAGACATTTTTAAAATAGAGATGGGCTCAACCAGTCCAATGTCCAAAACACGCGCTCACTCACTGAATCTGGTCTCTGCTTAATGATTCTCTTCTAAGATGAAAAGCCAAGATAATGTTCCTTAGACGTCCCCTCTGGGGCCGCTGCTGACTCTCTGGAGGAGCGTGAGATCTGCCGCGGGTCCGCCTAAGAACGTGGAGGAAGGCCGGGCTCAGGGCCCCTCACGCCGGCAGGCCTGAGTCGCCTGACTCCCGCTAAGGAGCATGAGCGGGGTCGTTTCCCAATAAGGAGCCTCAGCCTGCAGCTCCGCCTGAGAGGATGGCCCGCTCTTTGTTGAGGTCCTAACTCCTCCACAGCTCCCGCGTCCTTCTCCTGGCGCCCTCTGAAGGATCTGGGTGAGCACCTGTGCTCAAACCCTGCACTTATAGAGCGTGCCCTCTCTAAGATGGAGGAGGCACGCAAGGTCGCAAGGTTGCCAGGTCACCAGGTCTCCAGGTTGCCAGGTCGCTGCACGCTGACGCAATACGTTCCGCACCACCCATGGACCTTTGGGGGAACACTCATCCAAAATCCAAATCATAGTATTAGGTAAGCAAGGGGAACAGTCCATATATCTCTTTTTTAATACTTGTGGTTGGACACAATATCTGTTTTTTTTAAAGAGAGAGTGAGAGAGGGGAGAGAGAGAGAGAGAGAGAGAGAGAGAGAGAGAGAGAGAGAGAGAGAGAGAATTTTTTTAATATTTATTTTTTAGTTTTCGGGGGACACAACATCTTTGTTGGTATGTGGTGCTGAGGATCGAACCCTGGCCGCACGCATGCCAGGCGAGCACGCTACCGCCTGAGCCACATTCCCAGCCCACAATATCTTTATTTTATTTATTTATTTTTATGTGGTGCTGAGGATCGAACTCAGGACCTCGCCTGTGCTAGGGGAGCGCTCTACTACTAAGCCACAATCCTAGACCCTCCATATGTCTTATCTAAGTGTCTAAGTCGTATTCAGAAAATGTGGGTCTTTAAAGTAAATCCTTTATTAGAAGAGGAAGAATAATGAATATTTAATTATTTCTGTTTTACAAGAGTGCAGGGCTCAGGTAAATTCAAAAGGAGCCAATTATTAAAAAGAAGTCTTCAATAATAACTTTATTTTACAACTGTGATGTGTAATTAGGTAGTACAAACCTATTGAGAAATGTATAATTAGTTTTATTCCATTTATAATATTGTTATGCTATATTTGTTATTATTTCTGATATAGTTTATGTTACTTATCAGTAATATTTTAAAATTCTTATTGGATATGTTGCATTATAATGAATATAGTATGTATTACATAACTCCTCCATTTATTGATTGTATAAATACGGGCATGCTTTCATAAAAGTGTAAATACACCAATTACTTATATCATAAAGTTTTTATGACACTAAATACAATCATGTATGTATAAATCCTGGGAAATAATAAGCCCTCAGTAAATAATAGTCTTTTTTTCCAATTCATGCCTTTTACTTTCTTTCATGAAACAAATGTACTCCATGACTATTATAGATTGGGCATGAAGTAAAATATGTAACTGGTTTCAGGAGAAAATAAACTGGGCCAAAACCAGACTCTAAACATCCTTCTCCCAAGAAGGAAATCTACAAAGTACACTACTAGGACTGTAAAGTATAATTGGGATCAAAATAATAGTGTTGCTTTTGGTTTAACCATGATCCTTGTTTTTCCACATTCTTAGCACTATTACCTGTATGAACTTTAAAAGCATCATCTAAGTAAAAGAAGTCAGACACAAAAGACCATATGAAATGTACAGAATAAGATAATCCATATGGAGAAAAAGTAGATTACTGGTTGCCTATGGATACAGAGAAAGGGGTTGAAGAGTGCTGTTAATAAGGGTACCTGCTAATGGTTATAATAAGTACAGTGTTTTTATTCAGGTTGATGAAAATGTTCTGGAACTAGATGGTACTTGCTATTGCATGGCTTTGTTAAAATACTAAAAGAAAACACTAAATTGGATCCTTTCAAATGGTGAGCTTTATATATCAATAAAGAGGAAAAAGTGAGCACCTAACTTTACTGTGGACTCTAACATCATGTCTGCCCCAAAGCTAGGCTGGCCTCCATAACTTCATATTCCAGACCTCCCCTCATAGCTTCAGGCTCAAAGCTGGCCACAATGGCCCAAGAATGTAGGACAGCACCTGTGAATCCAGTCATGAGCTCTGCCCCAGTAACACACAAATCCCTGTGTTGCCAGGCTCCTGGGCCAGGCTGCTGCAACAGACCCAAGATCCAGGCCCACAATGGTAAACCCTAAAATCTAATGAGCTCCCATGAAACCAGGCTTCAAACATACTCACATGAACCCTGCCTCCAGGCCTAACCCAGTGGACCCCAGTACCAAGCTGACTCCTATGGACCCAGGACCCAGTTCCATACCCCTGGATCCAGGATTCAGGCCTGCTAAGGCCGACATATGGAATACAATCAAGAGCTTAAAAATGAATTCACTCATTTACATTTACTTAATCTTTAACAAAGTTATCAAAAACATATAACAAGAGAAATACTGTCTCTTCAAAAAGTGATACAGAAAAATTGCATATCCATATGTAGAAAAGAAATTCAGACCATTACCTCATATCATCAACAAAAACCAGTGCAAATGGGTTAAATAGTTAAAAATTAAAATCATAAAACTAGTAGAATAAAACAGGAAAAAACTTTCTTGATAGTGTTCTCAGCTATTATTTAAAAAAAAAA